GGCTCACAGGATGAAGTCAGATCTTTCTCCAGCTTTCATTCTTGGAGTTTGTGTCCACCTGCTTGTCTCGAAGACTAGCAGTCATAGGAGAATGGGAAGAAGACAAGAGAACCCCACTGGAGCTGGACAGGTAGCAGGAAGGACAGAGGAAGGAAGGCTTGAGTCAGCTGGTGGAGTCTGGTGGACTGGCTCTCCCCACTCTCCCCACTCTCCCCACTTGCAGCAGTGTGGCTGTGCACAGGGTGCTCTGGACAGGTAGCTATGGTAACAGCAGTGCTATACACAGAGAGCTTAGAAACAAGGACATTACCGATTAGAAACCCCGGCCTCAACACTAACACACCCTAGCCATTCTAAATAGTGTAGCAGTCAAATATTACCCTGGTACGTGGTGTGCCTGTGACTTTCAGGGGCCTGGTTAGCCTGTCCGAGTCCAGTTTCCTCATACTTGTTCTTGGTGTCGGCCCTCTGACCCAATCCTCCCTCTACTTCTGATGAGCCCCCACCCCGGCTTCTGTACTGTACCCCACATTCCCATGGCAAGATGCTCATCACCCCATTAGGCATTCCTGGGGTTCCTGAGCGGGAAAGGTGGGAGTGAGTGACTGGGGCCAGTCAAGCACAACCCTGTCACCATCAGCACTTTAGAGTTCTGAGACATCATTTCGCCACATGATGCGTAACACAGTCCCGAGTGGTGTTCTCGGGAGAGGTGGGTGGAGGCAGGAGGAGAAGTCGCCCTGACAGCTCTCTCCAGGCAGGAGGTTTTGCTGCTGCGACGGTTTCTTTTGTCAGGAAGCCTGGGTGTAATCCCAGAGACCTGCCTCTGCTCAGCAGTGTGACCAAGCTTTGATTGCTGGGTCATCATGATACTATCTGTGGCATGGGAGGAGAGGGGAATCCCCTCCTAGCTATCCAGGCAAGGTCCAGGAACCCTGGGTAGGCCAGCCTCGGTCTGCGGGTGTGTGTGGGAATGGCAGGAGGGGAAAGCCCAGATGCTGAGGAGGCTTTGCTCAACTCCACCTTCTTCAAAGTGCTTCCTCTTTGCCTGGGCATGAGTTTGTGCTAGCATCAGGTTCTGCCGAGAGATTCTCATGTTGAGACCTGCTCCAGCCCGGAAAGCCAGCTCCAGAGTCATGCCCCCTCCCCCAACCCCCGAAAGTGGCTGGGCGGGGTGGAGGTGGAAGCCCATTGTCCAGCACCTTCTTGTCTATGCCCTCTCAGACTGAGGACCCAAAGTTTCCCTAGAGGAGGAAAAGTGACCCCTTTTAATTGGGTGACACCCCTACCCACCAGAGGGATATGTTTTTCAGGTTGGATTCAAATTTCTTGCCTACTCAATGTAAGCTCCCCAGAGTGGAAATGTTGCTCCTCTCAGGTATGACACTCAGATAGATGGCTTCCACATTTTCAGTGTGTGCGCTGACACCTGCTCGCTCCGTTCTGGTGACCCAGCTTCCCTTCCTCTGCTCAGTGTCTGTGCCTCTCCTCTCCTCTCCTCTCCTCTCCTCTCCTCTCCTCTCCTCTCCTCTCCTCTCCTCTCCCCTCCCCTCCCTTCCCTTCCCCTCCCTTCCCTTCCCCTCTCTTCCCCTTTCCTCTCTTCTCTTCTCCTCTTCCCATTCTCTTCCCTCCCTTTCTTTCCCTTCCTCATCCTTTCACTTTACTTCCCCTCCCATATTTTTCTCCCCCTCTCTTTCCTTCCCCTCTCCGCCCTTCTCTTCTATCACTCTCCCTCCCCCATTCTGTACTGGGGATTGAACACAGGGCCTTGCGTATGTTAGGCAAGTACTCTATCACTGCGCTCTGTTCCCACTCCCCATTCCATTTCGGTACCCAGGCTGGCCTAGAACGACCTGTACTCCATGTGAACCCTGACTCTGCCATCCTCCTGACACAGCCTCCAGGGTCATATTGCCATTCCTGAAGCCATTGTCTCAACCCAAGCTCCTGGGCTTCCTTCTGTATTCTCGGTAACCCTAGCTGAAGAGAGGCAGCAGCAAGAGAGCCTGGGGCCACAGAGGTGATGGCATGAGGAAGAGCCATTGGGTTAGGAGCAGAGTATTCTGGGAACAAGCTCATGGAGCAGGACAGGGAGAGGAACACAGTCTTATGAGATGCTCAGGAAGACAGACACAAGGGTATCTCCCATCCTCCTCACGGGTCTGCCTTTACTGGGACCTTCAATGAGGAACTAGGATTCCTGCCACCCAGCAGGACTGGCGATCCCTCTTGTTTCCCAGCACCCAGGGGTGCTGCACAGATGGGAGGTGTCCCCAATAGTGTGGAATGAGAACTACCAGGTCACCACCAGGGGGCACTTTATGCCTGCTCTGAGTCACCTCCCACAGTGGAAGGGAGAATGGGTTACTGTAAGACAACAGGAAGTGCCTGATTGCTGAAATCAGGAGATGTGCTGAGTCTCTGAGATGGGACCAGGTCTGAGTCAGGTGCACACAGCGGGTTGTGCTTGCTGGGGAGCTCCTTCTCCAGCAGGCAGGTCTGAGTCAGGTGTCCACAGAGGATTGTGCTTGCTGGGGAGCCCCTAGGAACCCCATTGACCTAGAACTGGAGTCTGACCCCAGGCCAGCCCTTTTCCCAGATTCCTGGCTTAGTAGCCAGCAGGGAGCACGGCAGGCACAGGGACAGGGGCACAGATGGAGGTTCTGTCTCAGTATGTGAAGGGTGAGCCCCAGACCCACCTCCTGAGTCTCCCACCAGGGTTCTCTCCCCTCACAATCCTGCAGGGCTCTGAGGCTCGGGGTTGCCTGCCACCTGCTCCTCTCCCCGGAGAGCTTTGAGTCCTGTTGACTAAAGTCAGACCTTCAGTTCCGTGCCCCCCACCATCCTAGCTCAGCCACCCCAGCTGTATTCAGTGCTCCAGGTCTGTGCGCTCATGAAACTGCCCTCGATTGCACCAGCGGTCAACATGCAGCACCACGCACACAGCGCCATGCTTGTTTAAGGGGATTTGACAGAGTTTCTGTCTAGTCACAGGCGTTTGCAGTTGTCCTCACTGATACGGAACACTTTCACCACACCAGAAAGAACCTTTTAGCTACTTCCCTGGTTCCTAGCGTCCTCTCTGGCCGGCTGCGCTTAGCAACTGCCCTCTGCCTTTTATCTCCGTGGATTTCTCTATTCCATTGCATGCTTCAAGATTTGCCCATGTTGTAGCATGCATTAGCACCATATTCCTTTTCAAGGATAAAGTCGTATTACACTGGCTGGCTGGGTCACTGCATTTTGCTCATTTGTTGATGGATGTTTGAGTTGTTTCCAAATTTTGGTTATTCTGAACATTGCAACAATTGTGTGTGCGTGTTTTGTGTAGATATAGGCATTCATTTTTCTTGGTATGTACCTAGGAGTGGACTGACTTTCGGCACAGTGGCTAGCTCGTCTTGAGCCTTATTTAGGGCTCTATAGTTTGGCCCAGAGTTCTTGGAGACTAACATGGTCCTCTAGCTTACAGCTCTGCACAGGACAGGTGTGGCTGTGGGAAGGAGGCAAGAGTGACACAGGAACAGAAAGCTCCTGAGGAGGGGGTGAACTCGGATCAACATGGCCAGCAGGGAAGAGTACTAGGGACTCATGGAGCATGGAACTGCGAGCATCCAGTCATCCAGTCTGCTTTCCAGGTCCTGAGCCTCTCTAAAGGAGGAGAAGTGAGGAAGAGTCCTGATCCTCTTCCAGTGCAGCTGTCACTCATTTCCAAAGCTTTCCCCAGGTGGGAGCTGCCAAGATAGTGGAAAGGTGCAGAGGGAGAAGAACCAAGGGCTTGGGAGATGCTAAGCTTGACTGATGGGCCCCTGAGGGTCTCCCCTAGATTCTGTTGTGGATCCATGAAATGGGGGGGTCTATGTGCATTGTGTGTATGCTCGTAACATGGAGAGGGTCTTGCAAGTGTGTGATGTACAGGTTTTAGGTATGAATTGCATGGTGTCTTATTTATTCTGCAGGGCACCTGCATATCTTGTATATGGGGTATTCCTATGAGTGCAATACATTCGTTTCTGTTCCTAAACTGAAATTCTTGAAGGCTGCTCATGAGTCCCCTCAGCCGTATCATAACCCGTACCAAGCAGGAGACATTTTGATTCCTAGAGTGTGAACAGAGTCAGTTTATTGGGAACAGTCAGCTCAGAGAGTCCTCAAAGATTGAACTCCAGGTGGGCAGGCTTTGTAGGTCAGCTTGGCACCTCCTCTCTCTCAGACCCTGAGCAAGTCACCAAATGACTGGGGCAGCTACATGGCACCGTATGGGTGAACCAGATTCCTATTTGACTCAAGGCTCAATGCTAGAGGTACTAAATGAGAGGGAGCAGGAAGCAGTGGCTATGTACAGAGGTGGACAGGGCTGGGGTCCTTAGCTAAGGCTAGCTCTTCACTGTCTGAGAAGCATCTATGCACACGCTGTCAGCCTTGTTCTGTGCACGTCTCGTCATCAACTGCCAATGAGAGCTACATAGATTTTTCAGTCTAAGTCTAACATACTACCCAAAGTTCATTCTTGAGCCTCAGAACTGGGAAGACCGTCCAGTGGTCCAGGAACTCTAATTCTGGACCTTGGATTTGGAATTCAGAATAGGATTTGGGGAATCTCCTTTTGATTTTCTTTTACAATAGTGCATGCTTCAGGTAGGTGCTGTAAGTTAAATTTTCTTAGGTCTTTGAGAGCCAGCGAGAAGAGAGATAGGAAGGCTTGGGTAGGGGTGGGCACAGTAGGGCTGCCTGTGTGAGGAAAGTAGCCGGGAGCTTTCTTCTACAGAATAAGCTGTAATGTGCCCAACTAGCCATCTCACCTGGGAAGAAGTGGTTAGACTATTGTCGTTCTCTTGACCATTGCAACTTCAGGTGACGGGGAGGGGGGATGCAGCCTCTTACTGCTCCCCACCTGTGCTGGGTCCAGCTTGGGGTCTGCACCCAGATATCTGAAATGTAGCTTTGATGATTAGAGTGGAGGTGAGCATGGCTCAGCTCCCAGGACTATTCCAGGGCAATGTGAAGTTGGTGTGGGAGGGGAGGATTTGGGAGATTCTAGTCTTCAGCCCTGTGGAGGTGTGATGTCCAGGGTTTACAGACCGAGGCAGTGCTAACACTAACGACCGCATGAGTTGCTACCTGCCCCCATCTTCGTGCTGGAGTTCCGCCCACTTCCGCAGCCCATGATCCCTTGGGGTTCACAGGGGATGTAGAGTTCGCCGGTGCCCACCATGCTGCAGCTGCCATTGTTCCTGAGGACACCCATAGTCCCTGTGCTGTACTCAGTCCTCAGCATGGGTGTGCCCAGCACACATGGTTCATAGAGAACGGCACCCTTGGAGCTGCTGACCGCTGTGGGGACAGGAAGGTGTGCTCAGGGCCCACCCTGGACTATCCAGTCAGAACTACGACCCTCCCAGCTTTGCTACCGCCTCCAAGAACAGCCATTTCAAAAGCTGACTTCCCTGCCTTCAGACCCAATCACATCCAGTGCTTGAAGCCTCCCATCCATTCACCCTTCTTTCCCTGGAGCCTGTTGCAGCCAGGCCTAAAGCCTGATTCCCCTCTCAGACTCTCCTCGCTCCTTGTGCCTCTCTTGCTGACTCTGAGCTAACCCTCCAGCAAAGTGTCCTCTCGTGGAGGTGGTGACCTGGGCTGGGATGGCCTGCTGGGTTTTCCTCCACTTGCCCAGGATACATGGCAGGCAAGCTCTTCCCATGGGGGTGTGAGAGGCTCCAGAGGGCAGGGTGGAAGTGATGGGCTTCTACCTCACTTAATCAAATACCGAGACCCAGAATCCAGGTTGTATGACTCAGCTACTTACATATGTTCACAGGCCCAACACCTTCACACAGCCTAGAGAACAAAGGAAAGAAGTCAGGCACTGCCTCAAAGAGAATGCTCGCTCTGTTTGTCCCCCACTGTGTTGAGGAGGTGCAATGGTGGTTTCTGCTTTGTTTTCCTAGATTGTGCAATGGCAACAGCAGCAGCCACCCTGGGGAGGCAGGATAACAACCACCCTGATGCCCATCCTCCCCTCAGCTCACCTGTGTTCCTCGCCCTCCAGCAGGCGCCTGTAGGTGGCAATCTCAATGTCCAGGCCCAGCTTGGAGTTCATCACCTCCTGGTACTCCTTGAGCAGGCAGGCCATGTCCTGCTTGGCCTTCTGTAGGGCCTCCTCCAGCCCTGCTAGCTTGCACTTGGCATCACTGAGGGCCGCCTCTCCCTGCTGCTCTGCCTGGGCAATGGCTCCCTCAAGTTTGCAGCGCTGGGGAGAGGGCACAGGAAGGTGTCACTGGCCTTAGATGGGCAGAGGAACACGTGGTTATAACTGCAGTCCCTAGGATTGTACACCTGGCCCGTCCTGGGAAAAAGGCTCTCCCTCTGGGGAGATTTGGGATTTTCTGCAGCTAGGGGTTTGTAGGGGTAGGGTTGTGGCTAGAGATTTTAGTGCCTGGCTGTTTTTCACTAGCCTAGGAGAACCGAATAGGTCTAATTTTATGAACACCTTAGTCATGTTGGAGGTTAGGATCCCAGGGCTAGAGCCTGGGTTTGAAATCTATTTCCACGCTACTGCTGACAGCAGGCCAGCCAACTCTGTGGTCTGCCCGTGCTGTGGGTAGGCAGTTGTAGAGAAGGGCTCGCCTACTGTGAAACAAGGTGACTTGGGCTTGTCTCTCTTCAGCCCTACCCACCAGCAATGTCTATCCCGCCCTGCAGGGCCCAGCAGGCGAGGGGGCCTCTAGAGGCTTCCCCCAGCCTCAGAGTTTGGGTCACCTGGCCTTTGACTGTTTCAATGTCCTGCTGCAGCCGCTGGATCAGCTTGTTCATCTCTAGGATCTCGTTCTTGCGGTTGCGTAGGTTGTCACAGTGGTTCCCAGCTGTCAGTCTCAGCTCCTCATACTGCCGGGACAGAGAGGTGAGACCCCAGGCTCTCGCTGTGGCGTCTTTTGGTCCCTTCCTCACTGTCCCCAGCTTCTACTCCATGCCCACACGTATCCCATACCCATCTTGCTTTCCATTCCTTTTCTGGTTCTCTCACTAGTGTTGGGACCACTTCTTATTCCAAAGTCACGTAGCCCCTAGTCTCTATCCCCTAAGCTCCCAGATCCATTCTTTTTTCCTCTGCCCCAGAGCCTGAGCTTTCCTGAGAGCTATTTCCATTTTCTCTGCCCCAAACCCTGAGCTTTCCTGAGGGCTCTTTCCATTTTTCATGTCCCTCTGGACATTGAAAGGATTGTATGTTCAGCCTAGAGTTGAACAGTCAAAATAAAATGTGGTGTCTTGCTTTGGCTAACAACAAACAAACAAGCAAGCAAATGAACCCCAATAACAACAACAACAAAAACCAGAAATCAAATTCAAAGTGAAACAAATTCTTTTAAGTTAGCTGCCTTCCCCTGCTTTCTGCTTCTGGGCATCACGTGTCCTCTGAGAACAGGTCAGGTGTCCACGCTCCTGCTTTTCCAGATGCCATCTCCTGCCCCTCTCGACAGCTGTTTGTCCTTGGAAACTACTGAGTGTTCCCATGGGGCTATCTGTCACTGGTCCTGTCACAGCCTGGTGTCACCTCCTCCCCCACTACCCTATTTAAAGCTACATTCCACAGCACCCACGTGTGTCATCCTCCCTACCCACTCATGGCTATGTTGTGTGTCACCACCTGACAGACACTCTGGTCCTCTGTTCTGTTTATTGCTGGCCCTTGACCCTGCCTCTAAGAAGGAAAATGACAGGAAGGCAGGCCTGAGGACCACTCCAGTCCCTGTTGCTGTATCAGGCAGGCCTGAGGGCCACCACCCCAGTCCCTGTTTTATCAGGCAGGCCTGAGGGCCACCCCAGTCCCTATTGTATCAGGCAGGCCTGAAGACCACCCCAGTCCCTATTGTATCAGGCAGGCCTGAAGACCACCCCAGTCCCTGCTGTATCTGCAGCTCTGTGCTCGGCCCATGAGAAGCGCTCTGTGCAGTTGCTGAGACAGGCTGTATTACAGACGAGCATTGAGGACGAGATGACAGGATTGTAAATCCAGCTGCCCAGGAGCCCCTAATTACTGAGTCTGGGACACTCTTAATCACCATTTCTGTACCACCAGTAACACCCAGGCCAGCAGCCTCCGCCTACACTGTGAAGCTCAGGACCTTGTCTGCCATCAACACCAATTATACTGATTGCACGCTGCTTAGAGTCTACATACAGACAGAGCTGGGGACTTGGCACCCTAGTGACAGGGCTGGCCTGTCTGTGGGGTCCCTCTGCTCTGCAAACACCTGACCTGGCAGAAACAGAGCTTGTGTCTATGGGGTTCCTTGGTGCTGTGCAGTGGCCCAGACTTGTTAAATCTTTAGCTATTCTTGGGGCACAGAGCACTGGGACCCTCTCTTCTGCTTCTCCCCTTCCCCGCTTTGGCCTCCTCCTCTGCCCTGATGCCTCTCCCCAGCCCTGCCCCCTCTGCACCCAGCCTCACCCGGCATTGGTACCAGGCCTCTGCCTCTGCTTTGCTGCGACTGGCGATGTCATCGTACTGGGCCTTGATCTCAGCTATGATGCCGTCCACGTCCAGGTCTCGGCTGTTGTCCATCTTCACGATGACTGAGGTCTCAGAGATCTGGGACTGTAGCAAGCTGATCTCCTGAGGAGGCCAGGCTGGAATGAGCACTGTGGGTCCAGCCATGACAGGAGCCTGCTTGGGCTTCCTGAGACTTGTAACTTTTCTTCCTGGCCCACAGTTCCCTGTCTGCTCTTTGTTCTTTGTCCCTGTGGGAATCCAGAATTTCTCCAGGGGCAAACTGACAACCACCGATATAGATAATATGACTTTGGGGAGTCTCAGTCCCTGAGTTCGTGAGATGTCCCTTTAGAACTTGCCTTGGCACTCATGCCCACCTGATCCCTCTGGAACTGGCCTGATAGGTCACCCAGAAGACCAAGTGACAGACAGTACCTCCTCAAACAGGGCTTTCAGAAACTCAATCTCGTGTTCGAGAGCCTCCAAGTTGGTTTCCAGGTCAGCCTTCACCAGGAAGGCCGTGTCCACATCCTGTAACATAGTCAAAGAGCCATAACCTGGGTCAGTGTGTGCCCAGTCATGCCCAACACCAAGCGGCCCCTAGGCCAGCTGATGGTAGGGGGAGCTTTGGGCCCAGGCTCTTCTCCAACCCGGGTAGAGGCAAAGGAAGATGGCACCAAGAGTAGGAGGAAAGGCCTGGGCCTGACCCCCAGGGAGGATGTGTGGAAACCAGATCAATCCCTGTTGCTATGCAGAGCAGGGCAGCATGGGGGTGGGTGTGGCAGGAGCAGGGCCAGGGGCTCCCCAGAGCTCCACTGCAGAGGGGTCTGGAGGATGAGTTCCCAGCGGAGGAGCTGGGCAGTTGGCTCTCTGCCTGGGTTTGAATCACTGTTTGTCTTCTTACTTGGCATTAGCCACGTGGGCAGACGGTTGCTTGTGCAGGCAGATGCCCTGACGTTCCCCAGCTCTGACCCGTGTGAACTGGGGGAGGACGTGTGGTGACCAGGTCAGTCCCTGTTTCTATGCAGGTGGAGCCGATTGGGGTGTCAGGCTCTCTCCCTTCCCGCGGTCAGCAGTGTCAACACGAGAGACCAGGGAGAGGAACTTATTTGTGGTGGAGGGCTTGGGACATGGTTGACACCGTCTAGGGCTGGTCTCCAGGACCTTTGCTCCCCTAAGCACCACCTCACCTTCTTCAAGGTGACAAACTCATTCTCAGCACAGGGGCGCAGCGACAGTTCCTCTTCGTACCTATAAGAGGGGGGCATTGCTTTGGTAAGGCCTCTGAGGAGGTGAGGGCTCTGACTGAGCCTGTGTCTCTCTGGAAACAGACACTTGTCACTGGAGCATCTCATAGTTAGCTGTCAGCCTTCCCTTTCCCACTGCCGCCTGCATCTGTGATGGCTGACCCCCTGGGTCCTCAAGGCTACTTCACTCTCTTGTTGTGGAGGAAGTTCCCTTATCTAACCACTTCCTTTGGAATGGGAGAAAGGTCACGCCACTGGCACGTCATCTCCCTCAAGCTGCTCCGAGGTAGCTGTTATTCCAGGGAGATTCCCAGCTGACCCTGTGCCTCTTCCTTGCCTGCAGGGTAAGTCTGGCCCCCACCTGAAGTCCAATGGTAGAGGTAGCAATTACCTATTTACCAGAGCACAGAAACAGCTTAGGTGCACCCCTCATTCCCTGGGGGCTCCTCGGCCCACACACTGTACCCAAGGCAGAGGGAAAGGAAGCTGGGATTCAGTGGCTAGTGCCTGATGAACAGCGTCAGTCCATGGAAATGTCCCTGTATTCCTGACGCCCATCTCTCTTTGTTCCAGCGGAGCTCTGCCCAGCTTTGACAAGGAGCTCTGGAGCTACTGCCCAAGTTCGAATCCTTACTCTGTCTCACTAGACATAGTCAAACTGGGTGGATGATGGCCTGATTATTCATGGGGGTATCCCTAGTAGAACAGGGTAACCCAGGCCTGCCTCAAAGGGCCCTTGTGAATTGGTGACACTTTGTCTCATGACAAAGCACTGGCTAGGACAACTGTTGTATAAGTTTGCCATTGAGGTTGGGGTGCCAGAAGGACCTCATATTTAAAACCCAAAAATCTCATTTTGAGCTGCAAACCAGCCTAAGCTTGCCTGGCCATGTACTTCTCAAGAAGGCTTTGCCTCTCTATTCCCGGGTTCCGCCCACTTCCACAACCACCTGCTCTTCCTTCTCTTCAGTTTTTAAAGTCACTATGGCTTCTATTTTAATTAATTAAAAGATTTTTTTTTTGAGACAGTGTTACTCTGTGACCCTTGAACTCAGGCTGGCCTAGAACTCACGATCCTTCTGCCTCAGTCTCCTGGGTGCTGGTACCAGGCTTTAGGTCTCTTTTAGAAGAAGGAGCCTACTGGAAGAAAACTTATTCGTCAAGGTCATGGTCTAATGGTACCTCCTCCAGATGCTTCCTACGCCCCTCCCCCATCCCTTCTCTCTTCCGATAGTCTTCATGGTACCCATGCAAAGCTGAGTGTGAAGGTTGCCAGTGCTGTGAGGTAGGGGTTGAACATCACTTCCCAGCACAGTTCCTGTCACCAAGAAGACCCATGGTTCACACTTAGCAGTCATGGCTCCACCCCATTGGCACATCCCTTGTCTAGATTTTTTGTTCCATTTCTCCTCAGAGGAACACTTTCTCCTATCCCAAGCCCCATGTATTCCCATGAGGCTCTGGCCAGACCCACCCAAAACCTTCCAGGGGACAGGTTCTCTGGTCCTCCTACCAGCTGGTGTTTTCCTTGCCTGCCAGCCCATTCCGTAACATCAGCAACATACTACACACCGAGAGGGAGGCTCAGAGTCTGTCATGTGGAGAATGGATGGGATGGGGCAGCCAACAGAAACCCACAGTCCTCTAGGAGAGGACAGGGAAGTCAAAAGTCAGGAGAGAGAAAACATGAGCTTTGATAACTGAATGGGAGTCGGGGAAATCCCGAGAAGAGGCTCATCAAATGGAGGGAAGAGAAGCCACAAAATCGTGGAGGAAAGGGCCCCAGGGATGGCTAGTTCTCAGTCTGCAGGGGATTGGCGAACAGAATGTCGATAGAAATGTAGCTGCAGAGACTTAAGTTCTATAAGTGGCAGGTGACCCCTTTTCAAGCTGGGCGGAGGGAAATAAGATGGAGCAAAGACACACACCAGGGCTTCGCTGTGGGTAATAATTAGGATGCTCTGGGCTACTTAATTGTTCTGCTGCCGAGTTCCCTGTTTTGCAGATGGGGAAACTGAAGTCTGAGCTGTTTCTGCAGCTTGCTCTAGTCCCTTTCTAGGGGGAGGCAGGGTCCACTTACTTTTTCTTGTAACCCTCCAGCGCATCCTGGAGGCTGCAGAGCTCAGTCTCCAGTCTCCCATGGTCCCCGGACACACAGTCCAGCTGTCGTCTCAGGGCACAGATGTAGCCCTCAAACAGTGGTTCCATGTTGCTTTGGCAGCTCCTCTGCTGCTGCATAAAGTTCCACTTGGTCTCCAGCAGCTTGTTCTTCTGCTCCAGGAAGCGCACCTGCCCCAAGAATGGGTGTCACCATGAAGAAAAGACCTGAGACCATGCTTTGTAATCACCAGGACTCTGCAGAGACTGACTCCTAAGGGAGCTAGCTTTCTGTCTCCTTTACCTTAGGGACCTTGGCAGACTCTCACCTTCCCCTCGGTGGTCCATGATGGTGTGGAAAGAGTGCTGTCTCACAGGCCTGCGCAGCCCACATGCAGCTCTCTGGCTGACCTGCACCATGCCTCCTCCTCTGTGAGCCTCTCCTTGCCATAAACACACTCACATGAATGCCTGAGTCCAAGGTCCCTCAGCACAGGTCAAGGGTTGTGACCTAGCACTGCTGACTTTTTCTGTCTCTGCGGCTTCACTTTATGTGGCTGCGTCTGAAGGAAGCCTGAATTGCAGTAATGCGGGCAGCTGTGGGCCACCTCTTCCAGCTTTGTGGGTTGGAATTAAGATTGGAAGCCCTGAGTGAGTTGCTCTGGTCCCTGGGCAGTCCTGGGCACACAGAGGGTGGTCTGCAGTTCTGGTATGGGGTTTCCCATATCAGGCCTCTTTAGGTAGCTGCAGAAGGGCTGCTGCTCTACCCTGGACCAGTGGTCACCTCAGCAGGAGACTGCTAACCTTGCAGAGGCTCCCAGGTGGGGCTTCCCTCCATGACATGTTTATAACCAGAACTTAACAGGCTTTAAGAGAAAAACAGGGGGTCAGGCAGTGGTGGCACATGCCTTTAATTTCAGCACTTGGGAGGTAGAGACAAGCAGATCTCTGTGCATTTGAGGCCGGCCTGATCAACAGAGCGAGTTCCAGAACAGGCTCCAAAGGTACAGAGAAACCCTGTCTCCAAAACCAAATCAAAACAAAAAAGAGTAAAACAGGGTTAGTGGACCAGTTCCTTTGATGCTTTTATTCATTGTGTGTGTGCGTGTGTGTGTGTGTGTGTGTGTGTGTGTGTGTGTGTGCACTCGCGCATGTGTGCATGCGTGCATATAGATACTCGAGAGCATATACATGTCACGGCATACACGCGGAAGTCATTGGCCAATTTGTGGCAGTCAGTTCTCTCCTTCCAACACATTGCTGCTGGGAATCTAGCTCAGGGTGTCAGGCTTGGCAGCAACTGACTTCACCCTTTGGTCCATGCCTGGCCTATGTTTTCTTGGGGGTGGGGTAGACCTAGGTCTTCTGACTTTGACTCAGGCTTCTTTGCCCTAATCCTTGAGGTCTCCAGAAACAATAGCCTAGCACTTGGCGTGGGTCCTGACTCCCTAGGGTGTGGGGACAAACCCAGGTGGCCTAGGGGAAGGCAGGCCAGCTCAGCACTCCTCAAGGTAACATTCTTCTTAGCATGTCACTGTGCCTTGTAGCTTTTCCGAACTTTGGTTTTGGGGCTGTCAGGTGCAGGACTTGGGGACCAGTCGCCTCGTGGCCTGAGCTTTGCTTCACTCACTTTTGCCCCACCCCAGCGGTGGGGTGGGGTGGGGTGGGGCAGCTTGGATTGGAGGTGGTTAGGTACGCAGGTAATCCCACGTACTTGGGAGATAGAGGTGGGAGGAACGCTGCAAGTGTGAATCTAGTCTGGACTGAGAAGCAGGAATTTCCAATGACAAGCAGTCTTGGAATGCCTAAAGACCATGGGCAAACGGCCTGTCTCCGGGATGCGCTCAGCAGCAGCTTGCCTCACCCCAACCTGCTGCCCCTACCTTGTTGATGAAGGATGCGAATCGGTTATTGAGGCATTTGATCTGCTCCTTCTCATCCCTTTTCACCCTCTGCACCGTGGGGTCGATCTCCAGCTCCAGGGGGACCAGCAGGCTCTCGTTGACGGTGACAGGGGTGATGCACATGGGAGGTCCGCAGGCAGCTCCCGCTCGGTACCCAAAGCCCTGCATGCCACATCTGGAGGCCACACGTGGCCTCCCAAGGCCCACATTGCACAGGCTCCGAGATCCAAGGCAGCCCAGGGCTCGGAGGCCCCCAGCACCCCCAGGCCGGCAGGGCCCCTTGCTCACTTCATAGTGAGTGACCATCCGGGGCACGATGGCTGAGCATGAACTGAAACTTCGGCTGCCACATCTGGAGCTCAGCTGGAAATTTCGGCATGACATGGCTTGAGAGGCAGAGACGGATCACTGGAGAGGAGCACGGGGCAGGACTGGCCAAATGGTGGCTCAGCTTTTCCCCTTTTATCTGGTGGGGGCTGTGAGACTGGACTGGTTCAAACCCCTAATCACTACTAAATCAGGTTTATGAGCTTGGGATATTGGCAGCTATTAGGTACACATTGCATAATTAGGGTAGCAACGAGCAAGAAGGAGCCCCAGTGGTCAAAGCTGGGGGGCGGTAGTCCCATAAAAATTCTATTTGTCCTTCTTCCTTGTTTATGGAGTTGATGAAAGGGACCAACCAGGCACTTAAGGATGTCGTATGCAGTGGCTCAGCCTCTGGGAAAGGAGAGAGAAGGGGACTTCCCTGAGGTGGGGGCAGGCCAGATGCTCTGAAGACTGTCAGTGCCGTCCTCTAGATCCTGCACTCTGTCTGGGATGGGACCCCATTCTCTCTACCCTTCCCATGGTCTTGGCTCCAGAGGACGAAGCCTGGGTTCAGAGCCCTGACCCAGCATGCTGTGTGTTCTTGCCTCCTGTAGATCAGCAGACTGAAATGTAAAACTGCCTTGGGAATTCATATCTAATTGGGTTGCTTCGAGCTGCCCTCTTAGCTTTGGGTCTGAGAGTGAGGGGTGTAACTAGAGGTCAGGTGACAGTCAGGAGGCAAGCGGTAGAGTGGGATGGGGTGTTCGGACATGGGTGGGGACTTTTCCTGCTGGAAGGCCTAGGAAAGTGGTGTGAGGGATGATGGTACCGAGAGACCAAACTGATCTGGGCATGGGTAGCGGGCTGAGCCATGAGGACAGGTCTTACTGGAGCCGTGTGGATGCCACCAAACCCACAGGCCTCCCACTGTGTCCAACAGATGATGGTCTCAGTAACCAGGCTCAGCTCCTGGAACCCCTGGGGCTCAGGAGCAGAGGGTAGGATGGTGCATAGTTGTAGTGTGGGAATCACCAGTTCCCACAGTTGCCGCTTGGTGTAAGATGCAGTACACTGAGGACGTAGGGTGCTCAAAGGCGTTTTATTGAAGCAGGAAAAAGGCACACGAAGAGCAGTGAGTTGCGGCTGCTCTTCCAGAGCGGTTGGCTTCCTTTACACACAGCGCAGCAGCAGATAGATAGCCTAATTGCCTTTGGGAAATATTTTGGTCTTGAACTCATAACAGATATTTAAGGGCCCACAATTCTTCAGATGACGCCACTGTGAAGACCAGCTCCCAAACCTTCCACGCAGCTCCTTTCCTATGTCCCCCACTTCTCCTCTGCTACCTGTGTCCCTGTGCCCCGGAGCAAGAGAAAGCTGCAAAGATCCGCCCTTCTCCAGCTTCCTGTCTGGCTCTGCCCTGAGTGCTTAGAAAGCCAGGACGAGGGATGGACGATCCTCCCATCTCAGAGTCACCTCAGAGGCTGGGAAGCACACAATGAAAGGTGACTCTGAGCCACCAAGGTCAAATTCTCATGGAGGACTGAGTAAGAAAAACCCCTTGGGATTGTAGAGCTCAAGCAGGTTGAGGAGGACTTCTTGCAACAAGAGGAGGACTTCTGCAACCCCTACTGCTTAGGGGCAAAGGCCTGGCCTAGAGCATTTGGGTCAGTGTGGGTAAGGGAGGACTTTGAGATGAACAATGGGTGGGGTATCCCTGGAAGGCCTGCTTGGAGGCAGAAGATGGACGAGGTGACCTAAAACTCACAGGCCACTTGGTGTCAGTGTCTCTCGCTGGGGATGGTGAGCATAACTAAGCATCAGGCCTTAGCTGGGAGCTGGGGGCTGGGGACAGTGGCGAGGCAGGTAGCACATTAGCTCCTGTAACTCGTCTTGCTGGATGATGTCTTGGAGACGATCCGCATGCTTGAGCTGCTGCCACTCACACTGCGACCACTGGTGGAGCTAAAACCACCACTCCCACCGCCACCGTAGCAGTGGCCACTACTACTGTAGCCACCTCTACTGTAACTGCCACCACTCATGCAGAGGCCGCCACCTCCACTGTAGCCTGTGCCCCCGGAGGAAGAGACCACAGCTGAAAAGAAGAAGCCACAGGATACATTGTCAGATTGTCAGCTGTCAGTTGTCCCTCCCACGCTCATCTCCAGGCTGCCTCTCTTGCCAAGAAAGCTCAGATGACAGACAAGCTATCTCCGGAGGCTGCAGGAGGCAGGGTGAGCTCCACCAGAGATTCTGTGACTTTTGAAGCTCCCACAGTTGTGATGGTACTGTTCCCTCAAAGAGATGCCGCCATGGCCGTGACCTCCAGGGCAGAGATGAGCAGATGGAGGTGCAAAGCACCAAACAGCACTCTCAAGGTCACTCCTGCCTGAGGACAGGTCGTAGGCTCCTAGGATGCCTTGTCCCTTTCTTTGTTAGGGCTCTCACATTAGATGGGACACAAGGCCTCAAATTTGGGAAGGGGATTTTGGACTTTATCAGGACAGCTCCAAAGGCCACCTAGATGAGTCTCCCTGCCAAGTATTGGAATTTCCTCAGCTTCATTTCTGGAGCTGCTAGTGTCATCTCCAATACCTTGGCAAAAGTGAACTCAGGCCCATGAGGGGGCAGTGTTCCCAGCCTGTTAGACACTTGAAGCTGTGGCCTGCCCTCCCTCTGGGAGTCTGCTCTTCCTGTGAGACTTTTCCTAATGTTTTCTCTAATGAGCACAGGATCTGGCTTTTCTGACCTGGCTGAGGCCCAGGGGTTCTCATCCCCATGACCATGACTCAGGACTGTCACATTTGCCGAAGACAAGAGAAGACCTTCTGGTCTCCTGGATGTCCAGGCAAAGCTGACATGTTTGCTTTACTTTCTCAGACAATTTGCTTCAATCCTATGTATAGGTCTTTAAGCTGTTCCATGCTTTTGCTAGAGTAGCTGAGGACTGGGGACCCTGGCTGCATAGGTAGTTCTGTCCTATTCAGGATCCTCTAGGGCTAGGCTAGACATGTGACATTACAACCACCAAGGGGTAAAGGGTCCCCTGCAGCATTTGAGGATACTTCCTCAGAATGAGAAATAGTGCACAGACTCCTTTCCCAGGGACAAAGAATGTTAAGCACTCTTAACACCAATAGGGAAAGAAACCAAAAAAGAAGAGGGGCTAATGGCATGTTTGCCTCAGTTGTTCATTTCCAAATCTCAGCGATGTTAGGGCCCCAATGCCGCCTCTCCTCCCCAGCCACTCTTCTGTCTTTCCAAGACATTTACTCACAGATGTTCACGGCACCAACACCTTCTCCAGTGAGCCTGTGGCAGGTGGGAAGAGAGGGTGTGTCATTACTGAGGACTTAGAGAGCTCCCAGTCCCTTGCATGTGAAGCCATCAATGCTGAGCACAAGCTGTGAGCCCGCCCTGTGTTTAACAAGGCTGGCATCCACCTCATGAGCTTTAGAATCTAGCAAAAATACAGGAGGGGAACCCCGGAGGGAAATAGAGATAGAAACCGGAAGTGAGACCCCGTGCCGATGAGGTAGAACGGAGCAAAGTGTGGGACATCCCTGAGGCTGGTGCCAAGGGCACTGCGTGTGTTATGAGGCTCAAGTTACAATGCCCCTGCTTAGGAGTTTTTGGTCATTTTTGCCTCACAGCCATGCCCCTAGCCCAGGCCCGGAAGCAGCTGTAGGAGGGAACCTGTGAAGGAACAGTGAATGACACCTGCATCTGACCTTGACCCTTCTATGAAGGGGCAGGGTGGTCAGTGGTTCACGTGGCCTCTGTAGCATACTATCCTGTTCTGGTAGCATCTGTTTGGGCCATGGTGGGAACTCACCTGCACTCTTCGCCCTCCAGCAGCTTCCTGTAGGTGGCGATCTCGATGTCCAGGGCCAGCTTGACATTCATGAGCTCCTGGTACTCGCGCAGCTGCCGCGCCATGTCCTGCTTGGCCTTCTGCAGGGCCTCCTCCAGCTCCGCCAGCTTATGCTTGGCATCTTTGAGAGCCAGCTCCCCACGCTGCTCGGCATCAGCGATGGAAGCCTGCAGTGTGGCACACTGCCCACAGGAGAAAGAGCAGCTTCTGACACCGCTCACGGAGGTTAACTTCCCTGAGGTGTGTCAGTGCTGTGGAAGTCAGAGCACTGAGTCTGGGCATAAGATTGTTATCAGTCCCCATGGATGGTGTAGAGCTTTCTGGGTGAGAAAATGGCTTTCTGCGGTCTTCCTCTGGGTTGAAGGTAAGGATATAAAGCAAGACCAGCTTGGCCTTGTTGTGCTCCAGGGGAAAGGGCCTGTCTCAGGCCCGTGCTTCTCCATTCCTTCTCTGACAGACTTCTCTCTGCACAAACTGAGGTAAGCCCCAAGCGCTGTATACTTTTATGTCAACTTAACCCAAGCTAGAATTATCTGAATGGGGGAACCTCAGTTGAGAGAATGTCTCCGTAAGATCTGGCTGTAGAACATTTTCTTAGTTAGTGATTGACAGGGGGAGGGCTCAGCCCATTGTGGGTGGTGGTCCTGGGTTCTACAAAAAAGCAGCTGAGAAAGCCATATGGAGCAAGCCTGTAAGCAGCTCCCCTGTGGCCTTTCCATCAGCTCTGCCTCCAGGTTCCTGCCCTGAGTTCCTGTCTTGACTTCCTTTCATGATGAGCTATGATGTGGAAGCAGAAGCTAAATAAACCCTGTCTTCCCTAAGGTGCTTTGGTCATAGTGTTTCATCACAGCAATAGAAATCCTGACTAGGACAGCACAGACCCAAGGCTTCCTGGATGCAGGGATTTGGATGGGAGTCTTACCTGCTTCTTCAGGTTGTCAATCTCAGAACGCAGCCTCTGCATGGCCCTATTCAGCTCAGAGATCTCCATCTTAGTAGTACGGAGGTCATCCCCATGCTGGCCAGCAGACCGCTGCAGCTCTTCATACTGGAGGAGAAGTTTCCAGGTGAGGGGCAGTCAGGCCCAAGGAGAGAGGGCTGGAGCTCCCCGGGGTCTCCAGACCTTCAGGGTGCTGCTCAGAAGGTCCTGTGTTGTCTTACTGTGACCACTGAGTCCGCTCAGTGGCATCAGTCTTTG